TATGACTTAGGATTGACCAGGGTCCCCAGCGGAGTCGCCAAGCTATCATAACCGATTTTCGCCCGGGCACGAATTTTCCTTGGCGGGGAAAATATGTTAATAAATTTTAATGAAAATATTTTGGAGTCGTCATCGACCTTTTGGGTTAGGTAGGTCAGATACCTAAAAATCATCTTTTAAAAGAGTTTTTAAGAAAATATCTTTTAAAAGATAAACTAGTCTGCGTTTAACCAAAAATTCATTCTTTTTAGTAATAAAAAGGGATTCGTGGTCGGTTACGTTTGGGGAAGGATTAGCACCCCCACAACGCCCAAAATTGGTACCCGTCGATTATAAATTGTCTCTATTTAGTAGAATTTAAAGAATTTGAATATAAATTTAATTTATGATTCTCTTATTCCAGATTCAATCAGATAATTTTAAAGGAAAATATATTAAAATAATTTATAAAATAAAATGTAAATATATATATATACCTAGGGTTTTATAAATAGGGAATTTATTTATTTAAAAATATCAGAAAATGATATATAGTTATTTTAAGACCAGCATTTCTTAATATTAAAAATAAATAAATATTATTATTTAATCAATTTGTGAAATTAATTAAATAATATTTATTAATCTTTCATATATATATACACACACATATTAATATTAATAAAATTAAATAAATATAAAATGAAGGAAAAAATTATAATAATTTGAATAAAATTAAAATAACTATATAGTAAGATATTTATTTATTTAAAAATATCGAAATAGGACTTCTAGTTAAGTTAAGACAACCATTTTCTTAATATTTAAAAATAAATAAATATTAATATTTAATCAAATATATATATTTATAAAATTTTATAATAATAAAATAATAATGAATAATTTGAACATATTGAAATTAAAAGGATAATAATAAAAAAAATAAATTAAAATGCAATTAAACAGTGACTAAAACAAATGAAATTAAAATTATAAGAATAAATTAAAAAAGTAATAAAACTCATTGTTAAAATAAATATTAAAATATTAGGGATCAAAATGTAAAATAGAAAAATTAAGGACCTAATTCAAAATATCATAAATCTATGTGCTAAAAGTGTAATTTGATTATAATTAATTATTCGGAACTAAAATAAAAATTAATAAAACTATAAAGGACTAAATCTGATATTTTACCCTAAATATATATAATTACTGTCAAGGACTAAAACATAAATTAAATAAATTAAAAAACTGAATTAAAAGACATTTAAATTGAATTTAGTGACCAAAATAGAATCTTACAAACTTCAAGGGTTTGCGTGTGTGATTTACCCAAGAGGGTATTTATACAAACACCCTTCCCCCAAAACGACGTCGTATGAGGAGGGTATTTAAACCCCTTTATAATCGGCCCTAAGGGCCATTATCCCCTTTTTTCATTTTTCACTCTCTCTCTTAAAGAGAGAGATGAAAAAATTTCTCTCCCTCTTTCTAAATTTCTATCACCGGCGAGAGTCCGGCCACCGCCGGCCCCTGTGCTCCGGCAGCGATGGCCACAACGGTGGCTGGAATTTACAAACCTACCCCAAATTAAAGCCTCGATTACCCTAAACACAAATCCAAACTTGTTTTCTTCTAAAAACTCACCGAAACCGCTAGATCTAAACGTTTTACCTTCGAAAAACTTGATGACTGTTGGTTTCCTCAGTAAGTTTCTTTCGGTATTCCACTGTTTTTCTTCTTTGTGGTTGGTTGTTGTTGTTAGTGTTGTTTGTTGTTCGTCGTTGCCGTTGGTTGTTGCTCTCGTTCCTTCTCTTGGTTGCTCTGTCTGTTCGTCTCTCCTTTTTCTCTGCAGGGAATCGATGGCTTTTATAAGCCACCATAGTTCTTCTCTCGGACCGGTCATAAGAATGGCCCTCGGTGAGTCACCGAACCTCTAGTGGTGACTCACAATAGGGTCTTGACGTGGGCGGCCATCTGTGCTTTCTTTGGAGTCTTCATCAGAGACGTGACAGTAGTGGAGCGTCGGCAGCGGCTGGACGAGGCACCTGGAAGAGGCGACGGCTGAACATGGCCCTAGGGTTATGATACCCTAAAGTTTTCTTTGCTGGAACCATCTGGGTCGTTGGATCAAGACTAGATCCAACGGCTGCAATCACTGGCGACTGGGAGCTGGGATGATGAAATCCTATTTGGGTTTAGGGTTACTGTTGGGTTTTCGGATCTGAACCTCCATGTTTGGGCTCCGGGATTAATAATTTGGGCTCCATATTGTAATTTGTAAATGGACCTGCATTTTTTTATTTAATAATATATATATATATATATATATATAATTATAATAAAAATAAAAATAATAGTAATAGTAATAAAAATAATAAAATAAAACGAATGGACGAAAAAACTAGTGTCTACACACCTCTCTATGACTGAGAGAGGTAGATCAATGAAATGAATGAAGTTCAGTAATCTTGTTTTCTTCTTACTTCTTTCTTGCTTCTTTAGTTTGTTCTTTACCGTGATTATCGATCACTATAGTCAAATTATAACAGCAGGCAAGGATCAACGATGGCAAATAGTGAAACACAAGTGTACGTTCAACCAATTTATTAGTTTTTAGCATGAAACATGTTGTGTGAATTTAAATGTTCTAAACAGCTGTGCGGGAAATCATGGATGTATTCTAGCTACGACTCATATATCCATGATAACCATTCCCAAACATCAAAGTTACCTTCTAAGTTATTTGTTGCTCTACATAGATAAAATTTTAACAATATAAGTTAATTTGGTATATGATAAAAAAATATTATTTTAATATCGATTAATATTAGATTTTAAATTTAATCTTAAACAATTAATTATCTCATCTTAAAAAGAATATTCATCCTTATAGAGACTTGTAAATTATAAATTAATAAAATAGTCATTTTATTTGAATTTATAATAATTAAGTACAATCTATCAAATGTCTTTAGTGATCTAGAATAGCAAAAGAAAATAATTTATATATGTAATACATATTAAATAAAATAATAATGATAAAAATTATAGCTACCCCGAGAATCATATGGTTTACATTATGGAAGGACGGCTACTTTCTTTAAAGCATATTTACATAAATTAATTAGTTCAAAAGCATTTCATGGGAACAAATAGTATTTTTATTAAACAAAAAAAATACTAATTGTGATTAAGTAGTATAGGGATTTTCACAATCTTCTTAATTTGATTAAATTTATATTTAATTATCAATATATCAATTAAAAAATCCAGACCTTTTGATGAATCAAACCAACGCGACTGCAATTTGAACTTTTATCTAATTTGGAGAGTAACATCAATTTCTTCGGTAGCCTTCTAAATTTGAAAGCCATTACACCTATATATCACGGACCTATTTATTAGCCCGCGCCTAATACCTTCCGACTTTATATGTTAATCTAATTTGATTTTATATTAGTAAATAAATTTATAAAATTTTAGAGAAAGTAAATTTATAAAAAAAATTGATTAAGTTAAAGGTAATTATAAAGTAGTATTTGTTTTAAATAATCTCAAACATTTGACAATAAACATTCAATTACCCTTGTAGTCACTAGTGCTCGAACCCGTGACCTCTAGGAACAATAATGATTCCTTTAACGATTGAGATAAGTTGGTTCGTGTAGTAAGTTTATAAAATCTAAAAAGAACAAAAATAAATTATTCATAAATAATATAAAAAAATGTTTAAAATATATAAAAATTCAAAAATTTCATCGTACTATCGTTTGATCCATCTGTATAAATATATATATATATATAATTTATATTGGAAGAAGGAATCGTGCTGTTTAGACATACGCAGACATGCACCACGATAAGTTTAATGAAATGGTAGCTTGTTTTTAAAAGTCAGCCCTCCGTTGCAATATCTCTATGATTTCGTCCGAAGCCCTACATATCTACATGGATAACGAAGAAGAGAATTTTCAAAGTTTGTGGCTCCAATTCATTGATGGTAGTCACCAAACTTTAGGCTTTTGCTTGCTTTCCCACCCTATCCTTTATTATCATAAAAGGAAAAACAACTGATGGGGCACGCCACTGCTGATTGATCTCCTTCTTTAGCGCGACCTTTGTATTTGTAGAGAGTTTGTAATTACATATGATTTGGACGCAGAAACTCCAAATTTGGTGAGAAATAGGTGATTACTTCTGGAAAAAAAGAAATCATGAGAGGAAAAGTGTAGTGTAAACGCGTAAAGTGTAGGTAATTATGAAGTTTAAGTTTGGAAGAAAATGGGTTGCTTAACCCCACCAATGATGACTATAAATCATTAAGAAGAGAGTTTTGTAGTATGTGCTTCTATTCCATGGTGGGAAGGGTAGTCGTAAACAAAAAGCTAATCCTAACGCGACGCAAAGCTGTTAAGTGGATGGACCACCCCCCTGCTCTCGAGTCCATTGCAATACTCATTCCCCACCCTTTTCTTTTAACCTCCCTTTTGCCCTCTTCCTTAATTACTTTCGGCTACGCTTCTTCATCTTCTACTATCACACGTTTTGAGCATTTCTTTGCTCTAAAACTCGGTCCTCCCTTGTTTTTAATTATAAAATGATTACATCGTACGGATAATATATAAAAGTAAATTAAGATGACACAAACACTAATTAATAAAGTCTACTTTTCTCCATCCATATTCAAAAGCTTTTAGTTTCCCCAAACTAAGGATATTACCACTAGTTGAAGGACACCTAAAAGACTATGCAAATTGGTGTGGGGATTTGGTGGTGTTGGAGTTTATCTATTTCTAATGTGCAATTGGGGATGGGCTCGCAAGTTGAGGGTATGATTGGATCATGATACAGAGCTTGTGGGCTTTAACCCCCTTCTCTTTTGACATTTTGAATATTTTATAGTGGTTTTTTTGGGGAGAAAAGAAAAAAGCAATGGCCGAGAAACAAGTTCACTTGTGAGCTGTGAACCCTTGTTTTGAAAGAGGGGAAATTTAACATACAACAGGCTGTGTAGTAAAGAGTTGAGGCACACAGAGGAAAAAGGCAAAAGAAAAAGCAAAGAAAGCTGTCGACCCCCTCCCTCCTTTTCTTTTAAAAACATCCAAACCCCAACCTCAACTCATAAACAAATCATTCTTTATTAAAAAAAATAACCAAATACAATGTTCATAAGTGCCCCTTGTCCAACATCTAAAAAGAAGCAACTCAACTGAAACTGAAACATAAAGGGAAAGTGAGCAAAGAGAATAAGAGAGAAACCAAGAGAAAGGTGGCATGAAGGGAAGAAAAACCAAAGGAGCTCCTTCGGCAGATTTGTTAGTATGTTTCCCATCTCGAGCCCATCTAACACTAATGCTACCAAAGCACATTTGTAGTCCTGCAAGGCCATCCGAACCCAACAAGCGCAACCACCACCGTCTCCTTAAGAAATCAAGCACCAGAAATGGTGGCGGCCAAGCTAGTCCTCTCCTATGGGCTAAAAACAAGCATATGGGATCCGAGATCACGGAGCCCACCTCCCCGAAAGTCACATGCGCCGGGCAGATCAAAGTCAAGTCTAAAACAAGCTCATGCAAAAGCTGGCAATCTGTCATGGAAGAGATTGAAAGAATTCACAAAAAGAGACCAAGTTGGATGGAGTCACTTGGCTTTAAGAAAGAAGTCATGCAGTTCCTAACATGCCTGCCCTCCATTCATTTCGATTTTCGGTGTTTCGGGTCTTTTCCACAATCCGATATCACTACTGACGATGAAGACGAAGAGGAAGAAGAATACCAAGAAAACGACAACAACGAAGAAGGAAACGAGACATCAAGAACCATCTTTTCGAAATGGTTCATGGTCCTGCAGGAGAATCAAAGCAACGGGTTTTATAAAGAAGAAGAAGACAAAGAAAAAGAGATCTCCCTTGACCACTTTGATGATCAACCTGCAGTTCCACCTTCAAATGCTCTCTTTCTTATGCGTTGTCGGTCGGCTCCTGCTAAGAGCTGGTTAGAATCTAAAAGGGTGGAAGAGAACGAGAAAAGCTATGGCGAGGAAGAAGGAGAAAAATTACAAGAATGCAAGAGGAAAGATGAGGGGAAAAGAAAGAATTTGAGGTGTTTGATGGACGAAGAAAACAGAAAGATGAAAGAGAGCTTAGTGGTAATGAAATACGGGCCCGATTTCCGCAAAATTTCATCTGATATAGCCCAAGAGACATGGCTTGTTGGTGGGATGAAAGATCCATTATCCCGGAGTCGAAGTTGGAAGAGATGATTATACTGTCCTCGGTGACTACTCTGTTTTCATAAATACTTGCTTGTGCTTTATTTTGAACCAATTCCCCCCTGTTCATCCGACTTCTCTTTTGAGAACTGGGAATTCTATAATCACCACCTTATAGTTTACCTTTGGAATTTTGATATGTTTCATTGTCGTGTATGGTTTGAGAGTTATATGTATTTAATTTGTGCCGCATAATCTGTGCAGCTTTCCTTTTCTTTCAAACAGAAAAGATTTGTACTTCTGTTACATGATCATTATCGGAAAATGCCTTGCAATATCATTAATGAAAATAGCATTGTTATTGCTGACTTGGATTAGAATTTGACCGCCGCGCTTTCGTCTGATTACTCATGAACGGGGGGAAATAATGAGAGCAGATATCCATTAGGCACCAACTACTATTTGAATTTGTACATTATCAAGATTAGAATCCCAACTCCCAAGTGTTCGTCTCCATTAAACCGAGTTGACTCGAGTTCAACAACGTACCTATACCTGAACCATTTCTTTGCACTTCTACCAATTTACGGTAACCACTCTCACTATATTCGATTGTGCAACAAATATACCAAACTACCGGTACTCCTTAATTGTGTAAATAAATTTGTCAACAATCTCTATAGCAAATGGTTAAAAAAATATCAGTTGATACTTTCTTTTTTCTCTAAGTTTTGGTTCAATACTATTAGGAATAAAATTCTCCTTCTCCCTCTCCTTAAGTAAAAATTGTTCGTAAAACTTAGCTTTTGTCCATGCTTTTCCACATATGATATAGGCTAAAATCAAGCGAAATCAATCTCGTTTTTTTCCAATGAGCTATTTGTCCTTTTAAAACCTCCTTATTTAATTTCTATTCAAAATCTCACCTTTTAAAGGTTCAAATGGATTCAATTCTCTCCCAAGTACAAATTATCTAACGAGTTCAATTGTGTGTTTAGACCGGCCCACAAACATCACATGTCCACTTTCTTATGTTAACACGAAAATTCTAACTATTACGTTGATCTTGTATTCCACAAAAGGCCGGTCAAGCAAACTCAAAAGGAAAGAGATGAGCTACGCAAAGATTGGAAAGGTTTACAGGCCACCTATAAGAAAATTCGTGGGCAGGAAAAGAAAGTTAGTTATGTAAAACGTCACAAGAACAGAAAAATCTTTGGGGAGCACTCAAGAGTTTAACGGTCTTATTATTTGTTAGCTTATATATAAGAGGGTGTCTTCTTGCTCAAAGAATGACTTCTGTTGTACCTAAAATTTTGTAATTTGATTATCTTATTCTCAATAAAAAAGAAAGTTTGAATGGGTGACGAAGAAAAATAATTTTAGACGATGAAATAAAACTATATGAAAGACTAAAGAAGAAGATGAAGAAATTTAGAATTCCTTTCTCTAAGTACACTATAAAAACTTCATATTTACATAGCTAATCATATTTTAAGGAAAGAAAAATACATGGATTTTAATTTTCTTCGTTGGAAACCGACTATGCTCTTTAGTTGGCGAACCAGCCCATTGCTACTTTATTTTAAGCAACTCAACAATCTTAACAAGTTGAGAGAATGTTAAACAATTAGATTGTATAAGTCAATTGGGCTTACAAGTAAAGCCCGTTAGAGTTTGTTGATGTAGATATTGGTTCAATTATGTTGAAGTATATAAGTCGAGTTACCGTAATGGGCTAATAAGGACTTTAAAATCCAATTATTAGCAATACAATATCCAGATTCATCGTTTCTTCAAAATACGAACACTCTCATCCACCGTTCCATCGCAGGCCTACGTCCGGCATCAATGACAACGGTTTAACACTCATGGATTTAATTACAGTTAAAACAAAGCAAATCAATATATAAAAAAATGTTTAATTTATCCCATGTTGTAATCATATTATTGGCTTCGAATACAAAAAATAGTATCGAATTATAGATAAGCGACGTCTATGATCCTAAGAGATTATCTAAATTGCACAAGGCCACCAATAAAATCTCTAAGCTCTTTTAAATACTCATTTTTAGTCACTTTTCGAAAGGTGCAACCCACCACCACTAATTAACTTAAAAAGAAGCCAAGTTTTTAGAACAGTAAAAAGCTTTTCTTTGGAATTTGATTTAAGAGATCAGCAAACAGTTGCTAATGCTAATGCTTTATTCGGCGTACCAATGATGAAACTGAGACGGCCCTTGGGGGCGGTGCCCGGCTGTATACGTTAACACAACGTGACAACATCACAAGTGCTCTTTAACTTAATTTATTGTCACAAAAAATAACATCAATCCCACAGGATTTATTTCTTGTAAAAGAACACGTTGTCAGAAGACAAAAATAAAATAACATCGATTTATAAATAAAACTAATGCATTATATACTATATAAATAATAATGAATTAATTAATTTATGGTCAAAACTAATGCAGTGGATGAAAATGGTAAAAGATTCTCTGATAGTGTAGAATTATGATGGCTTAGATTTTGTTTCTGAATTATGATTTGGTCAAAGGCTGCGTTTTGGTAGAGAATTGCTGATATGCAATTATAATAGTATTCTACCCTTACATGCGTGTCAAATTCATCAAATTTTATACGTATATAATATGTAAATTCATCAAGCTCATATCCAAGCATTATATATCATATTTTTTATATAAATAATAAATTCATAAAGTATTCAAATGATATTTTCTTACTGTACGAATATATAAATATGCTATTGATATCAGATAATTTAGAACAAGTAATTAAGTATTATATACATATCTTGTAAACTCAAATCATTCAAAAACATTTCATCTGATACAATTAAGGACTAACCACAAGCCTTAAACATACAATCTATAACAAGTTCACATAAAAACATATAACTTCAAAATACAAAAATTATAAATTAAATCTTTAAAGGCTCCAATCCAATTCGCTAATTTATTCATTATCTACTTTTTGCATTATTATGGTATATACTTTATTCTTCAACATTATCTCACCGCGTCATATTAAGCCAATTCAACCCCCTGTATTTCCCATATACTATTGGGGTTGTTTTATTGGTAATCATAGTATTAAATTATATTTATGAGATTTTTTTTCACAGTATTATTACGATTTTAGGTATTGTGAATGTTGCATAATATGTAACATTTATTATAGACATAAATTATTTCTTAAAATTTTCAATGTAAATTTTAAATATAATTTAATATTACGATAATTTCAAAAATCATTGTGATACGACTGTTATATTACTATTAAGTCTGCATTTTAATTCTATATTGCGAACTGCAACTTCTTTGCTGCAATAGCTGCTCCACCCCGCAACCTAATTTAGAGAAAGCTTCTGGGGGAAACATTTGTTTGATGAGAGACAGCGCACCAACTTCTCCTTTCGAGATTTGGGGGGGGGGGGGAATCTCTCTCTTTTTCCTACTCGAGAAAACCCTAATTCATAGGGTTGAGGACATAGAGCAAGGAACAAGAAGAATAACAAGAGAAAACGGGTAGTTATACCGCAGCCTTAATATATAATTAAAGAAATATATTACTAGAAACATTATTTTTTTTAATATTTTCGTTAAAGTGTTACCTAAAAAATTATTTTTTATCAAAAATATTATTTTCGCTAACTAATTTTCGATAGAATCAAATATTAACATTTTCGATAAAAAAAATAATGTTTTAGGTAGAGTTTTATCGGAAATATTAAATATTTTAAGTAGCGCCTAATAATAACATTTTTAATAAAAAAATAATATTTTAAATAACGTTTTATTAAAGATATTAAAAAATTAATAATATTTTCGGTAACATTTCTCGTTTATTGTATATTACCAGATAAAACTCTCCTCTTTGCTTGTCGTGTTTGTGCAAAGCCGTAATATTATTATTCTCTATTCTTTTTATAGAAAGTTTTCTTCCCCTCACTGAAAGACAAGAGGGAAGATGATTGATGTCAGGGAAGCTTTTAAGGTTGCACATGAAAACTTTCCCAAAGCTGTTTTGAGAATGATGTATTTTCCTTTCGTTCATTTCTTGCCAACTTTCCCAGTGTCTTTATAATCGCTGGTTTCGAGCTAAGACCATATCTTTGTTCCTGTTCTCAACTGCGAAACTATCGCCATCTGTATATTATATATAGATCTCAGGCCCTTTGTCTGTTTTCAGATAATCAAATCTTTCGCCATGGATTATTCAAGCGAAGATGAAGAAGAGTTCGTGTCACGAACTGAGTCAGTCCCAGCATTTCTGAATTCTAGTCCCATATCAAATCCACTCCAGTCACTTATCTTGAACCACCAAAACCACCCAGCAACTTGCTTTGATCTTTCTGCAAATTTTCTCAACCCTTTCTCTCAATCCGATCCAAATTGCAGTGTCGACTTTGGTAACCTTCAAGGCTCATCTTCATCACAAGGACTCGTCAATCAAGTCTTGTATCCAAGCTCGTCAACACCGATGCAATCAAAGCCATCTCACGATAATGGTCCAAGGCCTTTAACAAAATATGGTCAGAAAAGTTCTGTCAAGAACCCCAATAAACGAACAAGAGCATCGAGGACGGCACCCACTACAGTTCTCACTACCGACACAATGAATTTTAGAGCAATGGTGCAAGAATTCACAGGAATCCCCGCACGGCCGTTTTCAGGTTCATCGTATTCTCGAAGGCTCGATCTATTCGGCTTCGGGTCAGGTATGCGATCCGGCCATTTGGAAACTTTAGGTTCTCTCTACCCTCTATGTCCCTCGGCTAAAAGGGTTAAGCCTACTTCAATTGCATCCTCTTCTTCACCTTCATTGTTAACTCATCCTTTATTTGGTGCTAATATTACCAATACAACTAGTAATAACACCTTTTCGACATCTAGTAATTACTATGTTCAACAGCCTCAGAATATGTTAAACTTGCAGAATTTCCAGTCCTTCATACATCCTCCACCTCTTCAATCTTGTCTTAATTTGCGAGGTTTTGCTGTGAGTTCCCATGGAAGTTCAGCATTGTCTTCCCTTGATGACTTGGGCTTGACTCATGGCAATGCAACAGCCGTTGGACCGAACGACGGAAATCAAGATTATTTGAGGCCCTTAGACTGGAATTATGATAGTAGTGATCAGAATTCGCAGAGAGTTTAATAGCTAAAAGTTTAACTACTCAGCTTCGTCATCAGGTTTTCAGCATGATAAGGAATTGGAGAACTTTTATTCTACAGCTAAAGCTAGAGTTGATTCATGGACTTCTGCAAAGTAGAATGATTTCTTCTCCATTTTAGAAATATATTAGAAATTTATATATATATGTACAATTCATTCTACACTTTTCGCATTTATAAACTTAAAATTAATGTTAAATACTATTAAAAAATAGATAAAATTCAAAGACGTCAATATTATCTAATCATGGGACTAAAGAGTACTAGATAAATATCAAATATAGTTAATAGTTAATAGAAAATTATAGTTGGCTTAATGATGCGTTTTAAACTTTTAGTGTTTTAATATATTTTTTTAGTTAAGGAATTTGAAATTGTTATACATAATTAGTTGTTAAACTACCATTGAAAAACATTTTAAAAAATATTATACTAATTAATTATGCACGTAATTCATACCCTTGTAATATTTGTATATAATAATGAAGAGAAGTGCTAAGGTCATTTAAGATTATATGAACGTGCCAATATCCCAACAATTCCTCCAAATTTCATCTTTCGTTTTTTTAGAATGTTATAAGTATTTTTCTTCAAATGTAATTATCAAATTCATATTATTAATGCTAATATGATTAAGTATGATGGATTATATATTACCAGTAATTTTAAAGATGGATGCCGTGAGCTAATATAAGATACAAAGATCTAACGGCGTATTATCTATGCCAAATTTTCGATTTAGGCTAATTAATAGCGTTGAAGGGTATGCTATATTTTCTTACACGTATTCGAATCCATTAAAATTATTAATAAAAATACATTTTATTTAAGCTGGTTTCGAAATTATATAAATATTAATATAATTTATTAACATTTTAATAATTTTCATCTAATAATCATAGCTCATATTATTGTGAAATTAAAAAATTATTAATACTTTTATTTATATCGGTCCACATATATAATGATGGAGATATCATGTACATATGGTGGTAAGCTTGTGATTTACGCACGCCATTTTTGTTCACAAATTAGATTAAAGGGTAAACTACTTTAAATACCACTCACCTTTAGGCTCGGGTTCGTTTATGCTACCAACGTTTTAATTTTGTTAATTTAACACTACCGTTTAAGTTTAACTGCAATTATGTCACTCCGACGTTAATGGATTAATGGAACGATGACAAAACATCTCTATGTCGTGACGTGGTTCTCTCACCAAAACGACGTCGTTTTGGCATGACTGTGTTTGGTGCTAAAAACCCAAAACAATGTAGTTTTGTTTGAGAAAATTTAGTAAAATTATAATTAGCTGACCCTATTCCCATATGTAATGGGGTGAGGGGGAGGTAAGGCAGTAGACTGCCCTCAACGGGTTGAGAGCAGCTTCCGTGGAAGACCTCCGGCAGTCAGAATTATGAATTGTCCACCGTGAGACTCGATCCCACGACCACAAGGTTAAGAGCCTTGCGCTCTACCTTAGTTTAGATTTTAATCCATTTGACTTTATTCCTTCTCTTAGCTTGCTATTATTGACTTCTATGTATCATTCTCTTCATGTTTCCTCTTTTTAAATTTAGTCGGGTCTTACGTTTCTGTTTCTATGCAGAGATTTTCTGATTGCCGGAGGTTTTCCACGGAAGCTACTCTCAACTTGGCAATGGGGGCAACCTACTACCCTACCTCCCCTTACCCCATTACATATGAGAATAGGGTTTTATTGTTGTTGTTGTAGTAAAATTATACTTGTGAGGGGATTTAAAATCAAGACCTTTTGAATCAGAAACAATACTTAACCACTTCAACAACTTAAAGTTTTGACTTAATTTTACAAACATAATATACATAACATGAGTTAGGATTCCAACAGTTACTTTCTAAAAAACCCATGAAATTATTAAAATTCTCAAAAAAACACCTTAAATTCTAGAAAATCTAAAAAAAACTCCTAAGTTTCTAAAAATCTAAAAAAAAAACATAAACTCTAAATCATAATCCCTAAAAATCATAAGAATAATTTTTTAGGGAGTTTATTTCTAAAAAACCCATGAAATTATTAAAATTCCAAAAAAACCATAAATTCTAGAAAATCTCAAAAAACTCCTAAATTCCTAAAAATTCCAAAAAAAATCATAAACTCTAAATCATAATCCCTAAAAAACATAATTGCATGTGCGGAGAGGTCACTTTAATTGTCTATGTATTTGGAGATTCTTGGATGTCATAGCCCCATATTCGTGCCTTGTTATGCATCAGACAAGGCTGTTGCACATGGATACTTTGATAAGAACGAAGTCTTGGAGTAACTTGGATAATCCTCAATAACATATCAAGATCAATGATAAGGAACTAATCCAATGGGATCTATTTGGCATTTCGATCCAGAGTATCTGTGACTATGAGAAAATTTTTACTAATGAAGTAAATAATCACAAGGCTGGATTTTCTTATTCCTCGTTATCGTTTTATTACACTGGGAAACTACTAGATACGAGTTTTCTTTCTCCTAATAGATAGTTGTTCTATCTAATCTAACAGCTTTTTTATGTGACAACTTCCAAGTACTGAAGATTAATCCATGCAAGTCCTCATAATATGAGATAATCCCGTTCCTCAGCATTTGGTGTTCCGTAATGATGATGGACTAAAGGTAGCAGACATTAGGATGGAAGATTCATGATGCATTAATGCAACTAATCAAGCTTTTATGAACACAAGCATAATCCAAGAACCATACCTTTGATATATGTACTCCGAGGCTTCTATGAACACCAGAGCATTTGATACAAATAAATACTCCAAGATTTAAAGAACTGATATACAGGGAAAATAATCGTCATCAAAAAGGCAATGTCGGGTTAATAAACCAAACTTAAGCACGTATGAAAATGAATTACTTTCACTATAATTATTAGGGATTATGATTTAGAGTTTATGATTTTTTTTGGATTTTTTAGGAATTTAGGAGTTTTTTTAGAATTTAAGGTTTTTTTTGGGAATTTTAACAATTTCATGGGTTTTTTTAAAAATATACTCTCTAAAAAATGAATCATATGATTTTTAGGGATTATGATTTAGATTTTTTTTTGAGATTTTTAGAAACTTAGGAGTTTTTTGAGATTTTTTGGAATTTAAGGTGTTTTTTTATAATTTTAATAATTTCATCGGTGTTTTAGAAAATAACTTTTAGAATCCTGACTCATGTTATGTATATTATGTTTGTTAAATTAAGTTAAAATTTTAAGTTGGTACAGATGTTAATCATTAGTTTTGATTCAAAAGGTTCTGAGTTCAAATCCCTCAAAAGCATAATTTTACTAAATTTTCTAAAACAAAATTATGTCGTTTTGGGTTTTTTAGCTCCAACACAATAATGCCAAAACGACGTCGTTTTGGTGAGGGAGCCACGTCAGCAACGTCACGACACAGAGATGTCATGTCATCGTGCCGTTAATCCAATAATAGCAGAATGTCATAATTGCAGTTAAACTTAAACATTAGTGTTAAAATTGACAAAATTGAAACTTTGGTGGCATAAACGAGCTCGAGCCTAAAGGTGAGTGGTATATGAAGTAGTTTACCCTAGATTAAAAACAGATTCTTTGCATGGATGGTTTATTTATTTAAATCTGGGGGTTTCGAGGTTTTGATTATTATAAAAAATAGATTTGTCTAGGAAATAATTAGAGGTGGATTATGTATAATTGATAAATTAAAGCAAAGAGAGATGCAATCTGCCAAAACAGTCGATGAAATATATATCATTAATTACTTTTTTCTTGAATATCTGATTGATTGGTTGGCTTGGATTTTGCTTCACATGGTATATCTTTGATCCTACTCATTGGAATAAACATGGAGATGTTGATGAATGAGAAAAAGAGAGGAATTTTGGGGGTAAAGAATCTCTGTGAATAGATTTGAAAGCTCAAGCAAATGATTAAACTTGAGAAATGGTTTGGAAAAGGAGAAATGAAATAATAACCCTATCAAGAAAAAAAGAAGACGATAATGATGAAAATTCTGGAAAAAACAAGTAATAGGGGGGTGATTATAGATATGTGTACAATGTGGAGGAAGAAGACATGTTTGAAGGAAATATATTGTGATCTTTCTGTTTTTGGAATCAATTAATGGTGGCCCATGGCTCAGATCATCATTGTTTTCTCTCATCTCTATCACTCAATCTCTTTCACTGTCCTCTTGAGTCATGCGAGGCAGGTTGCAAGTACTATTTTAAGAAAAGTTGTAAATTTCAGGGACTAATTGGTATATTGAACCAAAAAGAAAAACATTTGGTGGCAAGTCCCAGCTCTGTAAGTGTCACGACTCACCTTTCGATTTGGAACCAGCTGCTTCAAAAGACAGAAACCTCTTAGCTTGATCACAGTCCCTTTCTTTGAGGAAACATATATGTATATTCACACATTTAATTTTTGTAGCAATATTATAATGTTGCGTTCATGTAAATTAATTATAAAAGCACGATAAAAGAGGAATTAAGATATAAATAACTTTATATAATAATTCAAATTAACATTGAAAGTTGGAATATATTAATCATTGTTATACCCACCTACAACGTGCTTACTTTTATTGTGTTGTAGATGAGTACATTAAAAGAGTACGTAAGCAGTAATGAAAAACAGACTGCAACCTGACGCAATTTGGTCATCTTTCAAGAATACAAACCACTAGAGAGTGGATTAGACAGCCAATGCTGCAATGTTAGTCTTGGAAAATAGTAAGTAGATATGATTTACGTATAAGTACATATATATATATATATGATTTTATATTAGAGGTGTATTATTAAAATTATAAGAGATTTATGAATTTATAATGTTTTAAAAATAAAACATATATTATTAATAAAAGTATTTAAAATATATATTAATTTGAAATTGAAGAAAAAAAACTATTGCTTCCTGTTGTCCTTAGTCTATCCCTAAGTATAGAGTAGTAGTACTGAAATTTCAGGCT